GGATAGGTCTAAAGAATGTAGCCTCATGGGCAGTGTAGTCCGTGCTGCAGGGAGAATGGACTGCCATACCCGTTATGTGTCTGTGAACACGAGGAGGGAGAAAAAGGAGAGTGGAAAAGTATGAGCTGTCATTGAGCAAAGACGGGAGCTGGAAGCATGTAAATATAATAATAACCACTGCAGCCAAGAAGAGTGCCTGACAGCCCAGTTGTAAGTAAGCTATTAAGACTCAACTGTACACCGTGTTCGTGCTTTCCTCCGAAAACAATAAGTTCTGTTGGAGCAGCCTTTCAACGCCTCTCTCAAGCAAAGTTGACCCAGACAACAAAGTAAAGTTATTTTTCGGCTACGAGCCCGACACGGAACCAACATATTAGCCAGAGGTCTCTTTACTATGGTTCGGAGCCGCGGACCTTCAGTAACAGTAATAAATCACAGCAATAGTACATTCATGTAGTTGTAAAAAGCATGATAATATATTAAGTAATCCAAAGTATTCAGAATACGTTACTCTCATTGAGTAATGTAACGGAATATGTTACAGAATACATTTTGGGGCATGTATTCTGTAATCTGTAATGGAATACATTTTAAAAGCTCACCAGTTTAGTTTGGTTTGTAAAGAGAATTTAGTAGTTATTAACTAGACTTTTAATATTAATATACTATTAATGGCCTTCTGACCGCAACCCATCCTTGCAGGGCCCGCGGGAGTAAGCCCTCCTGGGTGAAGAGGTTAGGCCAGGCGCTTTTAAGATCTCAAGATGTGAATGTGGTGGTGGTGGACTGGGTCCGCAGTGCGTCCTTTGCCTACAACCTGGTGGTAGAGATCTACAGAGAGGTGGCCATACAGATTTCTGTCCTCATCAATCAGCTGCAGGTGCGAAGCTGTTCAAATGCTCGTTAGCCACAATACGACCCTGAGCAATGTAAATGTAATTCAGGCACAATTCATTTTACTCTTTACAGAAGTATTTTCTAGATATTATGTAGTCTATGAAAAAAAATCTGCAAGAGTTTTTTTTTTCATTCTAAAAATGACAAAAATATGTTTGTGGTTGCTTATATTGAATACAGAGTCTATTCTTGCGATTGTCTTCTCCAACAGAATCATGGCTGCAGACTCCAATCCTTCCACTTTATCGGGGTCAGTCTCGGGGCACATGTCGCTGGTTTTGTGGGAACTTTGTTCGAAGGGAAAATAGGAAGAATCACAGGTGAGATCAGACACCTTACATACATATTATCTCTTGCAATGTAAAACTGAATTGGAAACACAGCTGCACACTTAAAAAGTCATTGCACATGTGCTCCACCTCAGAATAATACTCCTTGTGGTGGAAATAAAGTTTAGGTTGCTGGTAGCTGGTATTGGGTTTACAAAAATAAGGAGACAACAGGAGTGAAGACAGTGAAGGTTTTCACAGCACAGGCTCTCACAGATCTCAGTGAGATCCTGAAAAATTAGCAGGGCTCTTCAAAGAACAACAGTACATTGAAAAGAGACACTGTGAAGTGTTTTGACAAGGCTCAGTCCCTTTCAGCAGAGCACCACCAGCACAATACACCACTGTTCAGTTGATAATATCAGGTCTTTTTGTCTGATGACACAGACTTGTGTGGGGTTAAATCAGAGGCTTCACTGATCCCAACAAGAATAAAATTTGAAAATGACACCAAGCTGATGAATAAAGAAATTCAAAAGCTTTCGCTAAATGTCCCCTTAGCTTATTGTTGATTGAATGGGTGGTCCACCGGATGGGTGGGTTGGTTAGTTGGTTGGTTGGCAGGCACAATGGTTGTTTGACTTGCTTGTTGGTTTGATGGTCAGTTAATCAGGACGGTTGTTTGGATTTTGTTATTGTTTTTTGTGACTGGTAGAGTTCATCAACTTTAAAGCTTAAGCAATACATTTGTTTATCCCCAGACAAAGAAAGGCAAATTAAGATGAGGTGATAGGAGATTTTTGTGTCTGGCAGGCAGACACACAACAAGATTTCTACAAAAAAAATAGCTATGCTGGTGAAAGTGAGGACATTTTTTATTTACTTTTTTTATTTGCTGTTTGCAGCTAAACTCACTGATTACTGAACATTTAATTGAATATTTACTTTCTCTCGCTTCCTCTCTCCCACTGTTCCCATTTTTTTTTACTCTTCAGTCCTGTCAAACCTCTGCCTTACAAACGGTCACTGAATATTTAGAGAATAAACTACAACCATAAAATCCAAACTAAAAACCTCATATAAAAAGACTAGTCATGTTCCCAGGACATGGGGACACTGTTTGACATTTTAAACACAAAGCAGGACAATGCACTAATGTGTACTACACTGACCATAGTTGAAGTTCTTTCATTATGAGACTACTGGAGAAAAATGACTCTTTTTGTTGTTTCTAGTAATATAAAATTTCATGGCATGTGCTTAATCTAAAAGATATTAAACTTTCAAACAGGCCTGGACCCTGCTGGACCCATGTTTAAAGGAGCGGACACCTATAGCCGGTTGGACCCTTCTGACGCTCAGTTTGTGGATGCCATCCACACAGACTCTGACTGTGAGAAAACGTTAACTTAACCTGCAAGTTTATTTCCATCACTAACATGGCTTAGACCACTTACTGTTGTTGTAACTACATGAAACCCCTTAGAAAGCATCATTGACAGATCAGCCAGGCTGATGACTTCTGTTTTTCTTCTCATTACTGGAAGTTATGAACAAAGAGCAACTGTGGAACTGTAACATTACGCTTTACTAAGGCACACAAAGATATGAATGTGCTTTTGTTTGAGTTTGAGGTGTGATAAAACACATTGGTTGTGCATATTATTCAAAATGCCTGACGTCATCAAAGCTTTGAAAGACTCTAATGTTCTCAAGAACAATCAAACCTTCTCTTTCAAATAACACTAGCGTCCCAGTGCCACTGGCAGTCATCACACTGCCGCCGCCGCATTTTACAGATGATGTGGGTTTTTTGGATCACGAGCTGTTCCGCGCCTTCTCCACACTTTTTTCTTGACATCATTGTAATAGAAGTTGAAATTGGTTTCATCTTTCCAAAGAATATTTTTCCAGAAATGTGCTGGCTTTTTTAAGATTTTGTTTTTTAGCAAAGTCCAATCTAGCACTTTTGTTCTTGAGGCTTATGTGTGGCTTGCACCTTGCAGTGAATCCTCTGTATTTACTTTCGTGCAGTCTTCTCTTTGGATATCGATATTTCAACCTGCTGGAGAGTGTTGTTCACTTGGTTGGCTGTTGTTGAGGGGTTTCTCTTCACCATGGAAATGATTCTGCGATCATCTACCACTGTTGTCTTCTGTGGACGTCCAGGTCTTTGTGCATTGCTGAGGTCACCAGTGCTTTCTTTGTGTTGCTGTTCACACCAAAATCTTCCAAATGCAAGCACCACACATCAAATCAACTCCAGGCCTTTTATCATTTTATCTGCTTAACTGATAATGACATAACGAAGGAACTGCCTAAACCTGCCCATGAAATAGCCTTTGACTCCATCCATCCATCCATTCGCTTCCGCTTCTTCTTTTCAGGGTCGCGGGGGGCGCTGGAGCCTATCCCAGCTGTCATAGGGCAAGAGGCGGGGTACACCCTGGACAGGTGGCCAGTCTGTCGCAGGGCCAACACACAGGGACAGACAACCATTCGCGCTCACATTCACTCGCACATTCACACCTAATGGCAATTATGTTTTTTCAAGCCAAGCTTGATTTTTTTATTTATCTTTTTTTTAGCTCTAAAAAAATCAATCAGATCAATCAGAACACTGCATTTGCCAACTAGTGTGCTGTAACTCAAAGTGCACACTGGTACTGAATATCCAAATAGTAAAATAATACTATTTTACTTAAGACACGCAGCTAGACACTGCTCCAGGTCTGCCAGCTCTGAGATTATTTCTCTGCCTCCTCAGATGTGGTCCCAGTTCTGCCAGCAGGAGTTCAAACTGGCCAACATGAAACATATACAAGAACTATCCAACCCTGCTGCTACTTTGGGAACTGGATTCTGGATGAACCCAGAATGTCTCATCATGGCTTGATATTGACTTTTTTGTCACAATAGATTTTTTAGGGTGGATTTTCTGCAAAAACAAACCCCATTCAGTGTGTGTGTGTGTGTGTGTGTGTGTGTGTGTGTGTGTGTGTGTGTGTGTGTGTGTACATTACGCAACAAAATCTGAATTTCACGTTGTTTTTTCACAATAGATTGTTGTGTAATGGTCTTAACACACAGATGCATGCATAAACATGCTTATTTATCCCCAGCATTGTTCCAACTACTGCCAGACCCTCCTGTCTCTGGACAGCTAGACAAAAAGTGATTTCTGGTATTTGCCAAAAAATGATTGTAGGTTTTTAATTAGTTGTAAATTACTTGTTGGCCTATTTTCTGTGAAACATATCTCAAACATATCTCTTATGAGTGATCTCAGTTAACAGCCATTTTAAGCCAGAAAGAACATTTTGTCACCAGGTAGAAGCTACAGTCAGTTTTTGGTAAACCAACTTTAACACTCATAAATAAAATTATGTAAAATTCTCATTGATATTAAAAATGTGATTTTCAAGAGAGATCAGGCCAAGAGGGCAGCAGAAACTGCAACAAATATAACAGTTATAAAGATATTTTAAGTTGCCAAAAAAAGACTGGACTGATTATAAGGTAGAACACAGTATGTACAATAACGCAGTCATAAAGATAATTGTAAAACAGATCATTTCTTTACTTTATATATAACCCCTTTTGTAAATTCTGTTGACTGCAGACTATTTATGAATATAAGCAAAGATATTCGGTGTTAAACACGTGTGTGTATACACACACACACACACACACACACACACACACACACACACACACACACA